CAAAAAAAAAAAAAAAAAAAAAAAAAAAAAAAAAAAAAAAAAAAAAAAAAAAAAAAGAAGCAATATCTGGGCAGGTGCAGAGGCTCACACCTATAATTCCGGCATTTGGCTGAGGGGCAGATCTCTCAGGTCCACAAGTTCAAGATCAGCCTGGGCAACATGCAAAACCCTGTCTCTACTAAAAGTGCAAAAATTCGCCAGGCATGGTGGTCCAATGGGGAGGCTGAGGTGGGAGGATCTCTTGAACCCAGGAGCCATAGATTGCAGTGAGCTATGATTGTATCACTATACTGCAGCCTGGGTGACAGGGCAAGACCTTGTCTCAAAAAGAAAAAAAAAAAAGAAAGAAAGAAAGAAAAGAAATACTATCTGGCAGGGAGAGCTGGCTCACGCCTATAATCCCAGCACTTTGGGAGGCCAAGGAGGGCGGATCACCTGAGGTCAGGAGTTTGAGCCTGGCCAACATGGTGAAAATCTCCACTAAAAAAAAAATACAAAAATTATCCAGGCATGGTGGCCTACACCTGTAATTTCAGCTACTCTGGAGGCTGAAGCAGGAGAATTGCTTGAACTCAGAAGGCAGAGGTTGCAGTGAGCCAAGATCACGCCACTGTACTCCAGCCTGAGTGGCAGCGTGAGTGAACTCTGTCTCAAAAAGGAAAAAAAATGCCGGCCACGGTATCTCATGCCTGTAATCCCAGCACTTTGGGAGGTCAAAGAGGGTGGATCACCTAAGGTCAGGAGTTCGAGACCAGTCTGGCAAACACGGTGAAACCCTGTCTCTCCTAAAAATACAAAAATTAGCCAAGTGTGGTGGCAAATGCCTGTAATCCCAGCTACTCAGGAGGCTGAAACAGGAGAATCACTTGAACCCGAGAAGTGGAGGTTTCAGTGAGCCAAGATGGTGCCACTGCACTCCAGCCTGGCGACAGAGCAAAATACTGTCTCAAAAAAACGAGATGTATGTAAGGCAAAATGAAAAGAGCATCTTTCTAAATCTTCTGATTGAAAATTCCCAGGTGATTTCATCAAAGTGGAAGTGATTCCATAGAGCGGTGTCCCAAGTCATTTCTTATTGAGGGGGAGGTTCCCCAATCGCAAACAACGCTCCCGTTTCCTTCCTGAGAACCATGTCCCACTCCCAAGGATGGATCCCAGCAGGCAGAGTGATACAATGTGATCCACCCCATGGCCTGCACGCTCAACAATCACATTCTCTGCCTCAGAAATCTGGAACTGGCAGGCAGGG